ATATAAATAAGAAGGAAGCAAATCAAACACAATAATGTATCATCCAATAACAATTGATCTCAAATAAAACTGACATGTCTTAAAAACTGAATCGCGCCTGGTGGTTCGACCGATTCAAGCCAGAACTGATTTGTACACCATTTCGGTTTGCCAATTTGAACCGTCGATCTCAAATAACAGAGGTCACTTCCTATGGGCCGTGTAAGACTGCTAAGAGTGTGATTGGATATAAATCTTGACTGGTTTTGATTGGCTTTTTTTGTTAACTATAATTAATTTCTAAAAATTGATTGGGTTAGAGTTGAGTGTAATTTGTTGTATTAAAATAATATTTAAAATAAAATGATTAAAACTGATTTGATATAAAAATATGAAAAAAGTGATTCAAAGTGATAGATAGTTAAAAGTTGATGTTGATTTATCAATTTGTCACTGATCAAGGTTTGTCCCGATCGATCCTCGAACGTCCTTCTGCTCTGAGCTTCGGTGACCTGCAATATGCCAGGAGGGAGTCCCGACGGAAAACCTCCAACGCTCAAGTCAGAAGTCAGAACTCGCTCGAGAAAATAAATTGATAAAAGTGTGTCTTTAATGCTTAGATATGTGATAGATATTAACATAGAACCCTGTTACCCTTATATATAGTGGATACCTTAATTCCCAAGATAATCCTTGTTAGGAAAGAGGTCCAACCAGATCTTCTTTCCTGACTTACCACGTCTTTATCCAAGTAAATCTCTTAGCAAGTTATACTTTCCTTTTGACTGGGATTATTTCCCCCTCTTTGGCACGACTCTTAAGTCTCTATATCGTAACTACGACCTCTCAACCTTCTTGTTATATCATGGCCGAGGTCGAGCCCCGGCCTCCTGACTTGCGACCTCGACACTTTTAAGGTCACTCTTCATACGCGATCCTGAAGGTCGTGGCTTCCAGGTCATTTCTTTACGTCGACAAGTACTTTGAGCTACATCCGCGAGCTCCCTGACTGAGTTTTCTTCTTCTTAAATAGCTGGAGCTTATCTGGACCTGCTTTCACCGAGCTAACCACTCAAGCCAGTCTTCCGAGCTATTCTGGGTGCTACATCAAATGTGATGTGTGAGGATGATTATTGATATTATTTAATTATAATGATAATATTAAAAAGGGTTTCAGTTGAGTTGTGATTGGAAACATATGTATATCCAATCACACCTTAGAAGTCTTCTTTAACTTGTGCTTCCCACTAGGGACCATTGCTCCGCCGCTTTCATTTCCCTGTTGCAATACTTGCTCAAGTGAGCTCGAATTAATGTGGATTTAAAAATTACAGTAATCCCATATAACACAATACTGTATAAAAAAAATTAGCATTGCATTTTCCAAATTAATATTTGAATACAAATAAGGATTTCTTCGTTGGTCCAAACTAAAATTTTACAAACCTTTGTGTATTTAATATGTTCCAGTCCAAATAAGGATTTATTTGGTCCAAACTAATTGTTTTATGAAGTATTAAAGAATACTTAAACTTGGTCCAAACTAAGTGGATTTATTGAAACAATAGAAAATACTAGGCTAATTTACGCATCTATCCATCGTTTGGAAAGATTTTACACATATCGAGCAATTAAACTTAATTGCACTTTAACGAGAATTTTAAAATTAATTTGTAATTCATCATCGTAATAGACTCCTCTCTCTGTCTCGCACAATAATTTAAAAAAGAAAAAAAAAAATCACCAGTGGTGAGATTATATGATAAAACAATGTTCAAGAATATGCCTTTTTTTTTCGAAATAGATTTTCTATCTCCTAATCTGGTGTTTGCACAGAACAAAAATACCTTCGAAATATTTGACAAAAAGTAGGGATACTAGGGAATTGGAGAAAACACCAATTATAAATCATTATACAACTAGAAATAAACAAACTAAAACAAATTCATTCTCAAAATTAAGCAAAAACTGAGTAGAATAAGATCACTACATAAATTAGATTATTACATGTTTATATAAAGTTTATTTGTCAAAGACAATACAAAGCTAAATTATAATTTAGCCGGCTAACATACAAAAACTCATAAATAAACCATAAAAAAACCATACATATACATACAAACTATCAATTCACACAAAACATTCAATCAGAAAAAATAAAAAATAAAAAATCAACAAAATAAACCATAAAATCTCAATACATATACTTGAAAAAACTATCCTAAAAATCTACCCGAAAGTTGGATCTTGCTAGATCTGAAACCACCAATTGTAGCTGACCTGTGGAAGCACTGCCGCTTGGGCGGGTGCCTTCCTTCTCGCTTCGTTGAAGGCAGAGAAGGTCGAAGGTTAGGCGGTTCAATCTCCAAGGGTCGAACTGAGCAGGCGGAGGCGTGTCGCGGCGCGGCGCGGCTGTGCGAAGGGGGGACTAAATCCTGGAGAGAGCCGACGATATATTCTGATTGAAGGCCTTCGGGAAAACGGCCAAGATCTGCTTTGTTCGCGGCGATGCGACTACGGCTGCGGCAGATCTTGTCTGGCTTTGCTTAGTTGCTTGTTTGGGGTTTGAGAATTTTGAATTTTAGAAGAAAAATATTGAATGGAAATTCAGATCTTGTCTATACGAATGAAAGAGAGAAGAAATTAGAAAGGGATAATCAGTGAAAGAAACCGTATAAATGCGAATAAAAATGAAGCCTCGTAGAAAGAGAGAGATGATTAAATGTCATCGTCCGGTGGGTAATTATCTCAAAAAAATACTAAGCTGAAAAAATTCCTAAAATGACTGGGTAGTTATGAAATGATTTATACCGAATAGTTGGCTCCTACCATGCCATCCATTCCTTTGCATGCCACTCGGTAACGGTTTGCCAATTTCGAGTGGCACTCAGTTTATAAAAATAAGATAAACCATTACTCATTTTATCGGGGAAAAAGTGAATAGAATATATAATTTAATAATGCAACAAATCAATCAAAGACCTGAGGAATCCCTAATTCAAAAATTTTGAACCAGCACCAACTAATCAACTAATAAACCTGCAAATTTACCATCCAAGCATCTGCCGTAAATTTCTCAATGAGATCCCATAAAATAGAGAAACATCTTGGTACAAACCACTTCAACAAGATCAACTGATATATCTCAACCACTCATGATACTGGAAAAGAAATAACAATGGCATTATTATAAAAAGTGCAGCTACTTGCATAGCCATACAAGATGAAAAATGTCCTTAGTTTCTCTCAATCAAAAGGGTGAATTAGGACAGGCAAGAATATGCAAGAGCCTTCTCCTCGCTGAGCTCTTGGGCAGTCAAATCCAACTTCTTCCGGGAAAACTCGTCAATGGAGAGTCCTGTATTACAGTAATGTTACATTAAAGAAGAAATGGTACTAAAACTCCCGCCATTAAAAATTTTCCATGCCGTGTACACACACTACTTAATAAATGTGTTTAGTGTAGTCACTGTACAGATGTGGCATTAATATTGAAATTTTTAAGTTGATTTGCAAAAACTTGGGTATTTTGTAATCAATGATATATCTTTGCAATTGCCAAAAGAATAGTTAAAAAATCCAAAAATTGGTAATCTTTGCTCATAAAAGCTAAGAGCTGAGTAATAAAGAATCTGGTGCTTTACTATTCATCGAACCACAAGCAGAACCGAAAAACGCAAAGTTGACATTTGAAAACACAAAATATTAATTTCTCGGTTTCTCCCAACCAAAATTATTAAACACTTATCTAACTGCAACTGCAAACACTCCCATAATTTGGACTTGAATGACGGTTTTATCATATACTGACCTTGAACAATAGACCATTCACCATTCTTGCAAATAACGGGGAAGGAGTAAATCAGTCCAGCTGGAACATTGTATGAGCCATCAGAGTACACACCCATGGAAACCCAGGTACCCTGAAATAGAGAAGACAAAAAAAAAAAGATCTATAAAAAACAGNAAAATACATTAATAAGAGACGTGCTAACAAAGAAAAAATTATGGGGAATTAATGGCATGCATGCTGAAATATTGTCACAATTCTTTACCATGCGTCATCAGCAACAAGCTCACGAACAGGCTTCTCTCCAGCTGGAGTCTTGACGGTAGCATGGTTGACATCAGGATACTGTGTCGATGAGTGATTTCCCCATATAATAACGTTTTTCACATCCGATACTTGAACATTCAATCTCTCTGAAATCTGTCCAAGGGCCCTGTTGTGGTCCAACCTCGTCAAGCAAGTGATGTTCTTCTCAGGAATGGATGGCGCAAATTCTTTCAAAATCAAAGCATTGGTGTTGGCAGGATTGGCAACAACCAAAACCTGAGTCATCAGTTCGACAAGAATATTAATTTGGAAATCTAAAAACAGCATACCAACTTCTAGTAAAATATTTTTTTAACTAATCAAGATTCCTTTTACGGTTATTTTGAAATTATCTAATGTAAAGGCCGTGGAAGTAGCGAAAACTCACTCACCTTACAGTTAGCAGCAGCATGCTTCTCAAGAGCAGAAGCTTGGGATTTGTAGATGGAGACATTCTTGGACATCACATCTTTCCTCTCCATACCCTCTTTCCTCGGGAAGCCACCAACCATTACAGCAACATTGACGCCAGTGCATGCTTCGACAGGATCAGTTGTAGCAATAACACCTGATCCACACATTAAGTGTATACATCAGAAAGGATACTAAATTATCGCAGATGACAAAATGTCGCAGCATATAACTAGTGAAGTGAAAACTTTAAACTTATTTAAAAAAAAAAAGGAATTACAGATTATCAACCTTTAAGAAGAGGAAAAGCTGCATCCACCAATTCCATTTTAACTCCATTAAGAGCCTCGGCAGCAGGTGGGATATCGAGCATGTGGAGGATCACTGGCTGGTCGGGGCCCAACATAACTCCCCTAGCAATCATTGGTACGAGAGCATATCCAATTTGTCCTGTGAAAAAAAGAATAAAAGAAAGAAAAAGAAAGGGACAAAACAATTGAATGTACTCTTTAGATTATCATTCTATACAATTTGATGCACAAGGAAATCAAAGTAAATACTCCAAACCCTAAAACAAAACAACCAATCCCAGTTTGAATACAGAAGAATCGAGAAACTAACTTCTGGAACATCTCAATGTCCTCAGTTCAAACCTCAAAACAGATAATGCATAAAGCAAAAGCAATATATTTAAAAATGGTAAGAGATCTCATCAGTGGATGCATAAACAGAGCAGGTGAACAGTATGTCCCAGATTTTTCCATCACGAAAAATATTCTGCATTTCAGATTTTCCTCCAGAGTAAACACCAAGTATAATAAAGGAGAACTATTGGAACTAAAACATGAATACGGAATTATTTGCAGTTGTGGGACGAAGCAGAGGATACTGGGTTTTTACTCTTTATGCAAACCGTTAGTAACAATAATAATCCCTTGACGTTAGTAACAATAATAATCTCAACTTTGCCTGTAAATTAAATAAGCAATCCCAATCATCGAAAACAAGCTTTTCGAAGTACAAAATGAATCCATCGACATTCAATGTAATAAAGTGGATCAACAACTAAGCTCAAGGTTCTCACACAGGAAAATATCATCTGGTTAAATACAAAAAAGACAGCAAAACTATTATCTGCTTGCTTCAAAATCCACTTCAAACTACTCTCGGCATATCTCACGTTAAAATCATCTACGAAACAAAAATAAACCAGAAAACGCTACACTTCGGCAACAATCAAAACACAACTATACAGACACGGTACACCATATTCACACCCGATACACTGAGAATAACACCAGATGTCCGCATCCACCAATTGACAGTAGATTTTATTCAAAAAAAAAAGAACAACACATCAAATGCTTCAAGGTAAAAATCTAGAGACCAGATCTGGAATTGAGCCGTGAACGTAAGCTGTACCTGCGGCACCGGTGACGAGAACACGAGCTGGTTCTTTGGCCATTGATGGGAAAGAGAAGTGCGATCTGGAAAAGAGTTTTTGTGTGTTTCGAGAGGATAGAGGTTTTAGCTGAACTATACAGATTACAGACTGAGAGCCGCTATTTATCACAATTTTTTTGGTGATTGCGAATCAAAATTTTCGGGTGATCAGTAATGAGTCAAACTAATCGGTTTTGATTGGATCAAATTCATTTTACTCACTTTACTAAAAGAGATATTGGACGGTCTACAAAAACATTTCTCAATTCATTTTTTTAAAAAAAAATCTATATCTATATCTATATTTATATATATATAACAAGTTTCGATTATTTTTTAAATAGTAATTATTTTTCCCTAAAAGTAATTTATTTATTATTTTAAAAAATTAATTTACTAAATTATGATATATTTCAAATTATCACTTATGAAAATTGTGGTTCATTATTTAAGGAAGTAATTAAGCCATATTTTAAAATATTTTAATTACTCAAATCATGTGAATTAATTAATATATGGTATATAGTGAAAGAATTTATTTCTGGTATTGATTGATGTTTCTATGGGAAATAAATTAATCAATATATGGTATAAAATGAACAAATTTATTTAGGTTATAATTCACTAAATTAATGCATATTTTAAATGATCACTTATGGAAATTGCGGCTCATTATTTAAAGAAGTAATTAAGTCATATTTTAAAATACCTTAATTACTCAAATAATGTGAATTAATTAATATGTGGTATATATTGGAAGAATTTATTTTTGGTATTGATAGTTGTTTCTATGGGAAATAAAGTAATCAATATATGGTATAAAGTGGACAAATTTATTTAGGTTATTTGATAACTTTTTTTGGTAGGAAATTTGTTGAAAAATTAATTAATATACGGTATACTTTTTTCGGTAATGTGCAGGTCAATATATTGGTTTTTAGGTCTGAGTTTCAATTTTTATTTCAATTTTTTGTATGGAATTAACAAAAAAAAATTACTGTAACTCCGACAAAATAATATGAACAGATATTTTGATATAATGTGCGTGTATCGATATTTTTCTATAGAAAAACTCTGGTCAATTGTTTTTTTTTTTGGTATAATTAGTGGGTCTCGATTTAATTCATTTTTTGTTACGAGATCTCAAATAATTTTTGTGTGAAATGCACTGTTCATTTTTTTTAAGCATGATAAAGAGTGTCGATTTTTTTGGCATAAAAATCTTATGACTGATTGTTTTTACTCAACTATTTAAATTTTTTGATTTGAATATTTTACACAAAAATAATTCATTTTAGTTAAAATATAAGTTTTATATTTATACTTGTTATTCACATAAGTTTTTATATATATGATAAAAGTTTACCAAAATAATTATTTTATGGAGTCATGTTATAGTCAAACCGAATTTCTGAATAAAAATTTTTAAATGACACATATTTTAAAATGAATATAATGTAATTTATTATCAATTATGTGTCAATTATGTGTGACGCACAGGTTGCGTTAGACCATTTTATGTAATTTTGCATAATTTAAATTTTATACAACATTTTCAATAATTAATATAGGTACATTGTATTACATATTGATTCCATGTTTTTAATTATAAATATTATTTAATGATAATATTAATTTATAAATATTAATGAATATCTCTTACACGGGATTCTTACTAGTATATATATAACGGTTTGATTATTTTTTAAATAGTAATTATTTTCCTCCAAAAAAATCTATTTATTATTTCAGAAATTTAATTTAACAATTTATGGTATATTTCAAATAATCACTTATGGAAATTGCGGCTCATTATTTAAGGAAATAATTAAGACATAAAAAATTTATTTTTAAGATACCTTAATTACTCAAAGCATGTGAATTTGGCTGATTTACTTAAATAGGGAAATTGCGGCTGCAACATCAATTATGTGATTTAGTAAAAAAAAATCCTACTAAATTGTGTAATTTATTATTTAATAATTGTTTTATATTTTTTCGTGTAATTCTGTTGTGAAATGCATTTTAATATACATTAATTACGCAAATTGTGTACATCCAACTGATTTATTCAATATGCAAATAATTACTCAATTAAAAATCTCGACAATAATAACCAATTATGCGATTTGCAAAAAATAAAATTTATAATTTTATACATCTTATTATTGTGATAAAAAAATCTCACTCTTTTCATACATAAAATTTATAGTTTTATACATCTTATTATAATTTTTTATATATAGAGACTAAAATGTAAAAAATAAAATAAAATAAAAAATTTATCAACATTATGCAACAATGTAAGTTGTATCTATTATGAACTCTTAAGAAAATGTCATTATATACTATAAATTAATGATAAAAATATATTCAATTATATATTATATATAAAATAATATATATATATATATATGTATATATATATATTACTAAACCGGTTCGGCCACTAGTTCAACTAGTGAACCATTGAACCGATAGCTTCGCCGTTTTAAAACCTTGGTAAAAATACCCCAACCAGCTACCTGAGGCATATCTACTCTATTCTACATGGAATCCAGGTCAAACACTCTTTTAAATATCTTGGTCTCCCTCTGAATATTGGTAAGTCCAAAAATGATACATTTTCTTTTGTAACTAAGGTGGTAAGAAACAGCATTTTCAACTGAAAAAACAAATTCCTCTCATCAGCAGGAAGGGAAATCTTAATCAAATCTATCTTGTGTGCTTTGCCTGTTTTTATGATGTCATGCTTTACTCTTCTTTGTTAAGACCTCTTTTAACTGATAAATGGGTTCTGGTGGAACCAATGTGACTCAGTTAAGAAAGGAATCCATTGGAACTGTTGGGAAAAACGTCATTTT